CCTCCCTCCACCTCTCCCCCATCACTCCTCCGTGCCTCCCAGGAGCCCAGCATCCAGATTCTCCGCTCCAGGTGTTGATCACCTCCACTGGAGGGGTGTTCCCTGGGTGGGGGTCCTGGGCACGAGTGCCAGTGCCTGGCTCCTTCCAGCGCTTGCCTGAGAGGTCTGGGGATCAGAGAGGGGCTGTGGTCACAGTTGGGCAGGCAGGAAGGCGGCCACACCGCCTGCTGCTCAATCTCCAGTTCTCGCTCACTCCTGGAACCTGTCCTCCAGCCTCCAACCCAGTAATAATCCTAGGGGCTGCTCAGCCCATCTTTCCTGGGGTGCCAGGGTCCCCCCTCTCATGGCCACCCTGGCCTCTGAGTGTCCAGGTAACGGTGTTCCCATCTCTCCAGCATGCAGGGTCAGGTGCGTCCTCATGTCCCAGCCATGTCCCCCAAGCCTCTGGTCCCTCCCTTGGAGACCTCCTTGGGGAACAGGGGTAGAGGGCAGGGTGAAGTTAGGGCTTGCCTGCAGAGGAAGTGATAGTCACGTTGGGCTTCGCAGGGTGAATAAGGGTTTGACAGAGTGTTCTTCCGAGAAGAGTTGAGGCATCCTAGGCAGAGCGGCGACCGCAGCCTCCATCTCAGGAACCTGAGGAGACCAAGGACAAGGGCTGGGAGGCCCGAGGGACCCAGGACCCCCTTTCCCTGAGCTGCACAATGGGGACGGCGGTGGCATTGGTGCTGCCGGGTGAGACTGGGATTGAGACACAGCCCCTGAAGCCTCCAGCGCCAGCCTGACGATTCTCCTGGGACAGCCTGTCCTCAAGGGTGGGCAGGGCCTGCAGCCGCTCTCCCCACTCAGCCCGGTGGATCTGACGGGGCCCATGCTGGGGAGGATGGGAGGAGGTGCTGGGACAGGCTCCAGTATGGCAGGCTGCCAGGTAAGGGGGTCTTGAAGCCCCCGCAGCCCGCCTGCCCAGCTGGTGTAAATGGAGGAGGTGGTGTAGCCAGGTGGCCCATCACTGGGACAGCCAGACCCCCAGAGCAGACGCAGCCTGGTACCTTCACCTGCAGCACCCTCCTGCCTCAGCCTCCTTTGCCCCTCTTTTTCCTGGCTTCCCTTTTCCTTTATTTGCCCCCTTTTGCTTGTTTCTTGAGACAGGGTCTCATTATGTAGCCCAGGCTGGCCTCAGACTTTTAGTGATCCTCCTGCCTCAGCCTCCTGAGGGCTGGGATTACAGGCATGTACACTCACCTTAGAACAATGTCCATGTCTGCCCAAAGGCCTTGAATGCTCCCTATTTTCAGTTCTGGGCACCCCCCCCCCCTTTATTTTTTGGTACCAGGGATCCAACTCGGGACCTTGTGCTTGTGAGGCAGATGGCAGAACCACTGAGCCAAATCCCTGGCCATAAACTGATTTTTCTTTAGAGACTCAGGTGCTAAACAAGGATATTTCAGTTCTAACCTATCATCTCCTGGCTGTGTGTTCTTGGAAAGATCCACCCACCTCTCGGAGCCTCGGTTATTTCATTAGGAAAACAGTTAATGACAAATCTCCCCCGGCCTCAGCGTGACCACGTCGGCAGCAGTGTAGGCAGGAGGCTGGAATCCTGAGTGTCATTCAGGCTCCTTCAAACTTGTCCAAGGCCACCTGTCTGAGCACAGTGCTGAGACCTGGCTGCTGTCTCTTCCCACCGCAGTGCTCCCTGCTGAAGGAGTCACGGCCCACAGCCCAGAGAGGCCGAGCTGCTTGGCCAGGGTTGACCAGCACTGAGTGGAAGGCTGCTCCTGGCCCTGAGCCCACCTCCCTCCTCACAGTGACCCCACTCCCAGGGCCACAGCTGCAGGACGTCACCCCGACCGCCCGCCTGATAGGCTCCGAGTGCTCTGCGGTCTCGTGGAACATCTGGGCCCCCCAGTCCTGGCCCGCAGAGCCTGCCCAGCTGCGCCTCTGAGCCACACCCAGAGGCCTCCCGGCTCTGCCAGGGAGACTGGAAATTTCTGCTCAGCAGCCCGGTTGGGGTGGATTTCGACACCACTCAGCGGGGGATGGGGGAGCGGGTGGGCCGCCAGACAGGCTCTGCATTCCTGAGGCTCCGATTCCGGGCACTGGGAGGGGTCTTCACTAGGCCTATGTGAGTCCCTCAGAAATAACAGTAACAAAGCCCCCACAGTGGTCCCCCAGGCACCCTGGGAGGCTGAGGCAGGAGGGTTGCAAGTTCTGCCCCAGCACAGTCAATTCAGCCACTTAGCAAGACCCTGTCTCAAAATAAAAACTAATAATTTTTAAAGAGGCTCTGGGTTCAGTCTTCAGTATGGCAAAACCAAACATGGTAACAAAACAGCCTGAAGAACCTTCCAGTGTCCAGGGAACTCAGCCCTATCACCAGGCCACAGTGTGCATGACACCCACAGATCCAGCTATGTGTTGGGGAGCAGGCTGGGCTGGAAGGGAGGCAGCGCTGGGGTGGGGGCCCAAAGAAAACAGAGGTTCAGCCCTGGGCGGCTTGGCCAGCACTTTGGGCAGCAGAGGGGGAGGCGGCCCTCCCGGGATACCGGGGACCCCAAGGACTGGGGTAGGACCCTCTCCCCGACCTCTCCCTGACCCCGGGGCTGGGGGCGCCCGGCCAGATTCAGCCAGGACTAAGCGCCCCATTATGCACCCAGGGCCAAACGCAAAGAGGAGCGACGGGACCCCAGGCCCGGGCGGGCGAGGCCCTCCCTGGAAATGGATCTAGCGATCCCTTCCCGGCTGGGGCGTGGGAGCTCGGGGAGCACCCGGTTAAGAAGCCTGGGGGCCGAGGGGACCAAGCCAGTCCCCCTCCGCAGGGCAGGGCGCGGCGCCCGGTTCAGCGGAAAGGAATGCGGCGCTCGGGGGGAGGCCGAGGCAGCGCACACCCTCCGCCCCCGCGAGTCCGGAGCTGCGGTCTTGCAGGCGATCGAGCCCGGGATCAGAGCCTCTCCCGGCCCGAAGTGGGGGCGCTCCGCCCCGCCCCCGGCCCGAGCTGCCCCGCCCCTCCCTTCCCCTCCCCCCTCCATAACTCAGAAGCTTGTCAGGCCGGTTCCAGACTCCTGGCGCCGGGCTCCGCTCCAGGAAAGAAAAAAAAAAAAAGGAATGAGAAAAAGGGAAAAGCAGGCGCAGGCGAGCGAGGCAGCGAAACGAGGGGCCCCGCACGCACAGCCCATAGCCCGGCGGGAACCGCCCCCGACCCTTTATCCA